GCGCTGGGCCAGGGGATGGGTGCTGGGCTGGGGGGGGTGCCGTGTCTGTCTGACTCCCGCACCCAGCTGTCCTCACCTGACCTCCCTTTTCCTTCTTTGCAGCCTTCCGGGCACTGCTGCAGATCCGAGCCATGAGGAAAAAGCTGGGCCCCCTGTCCCCAACCAGCTTTAACCCCATCATCTCATCCCAGACGTCCGACTCGGAAGAGCACTCGGTGAGTTGGGCTCAGAACCACAACCCTGTGTGAACCAGCAGTGCGGTCCCCTCGCTGCCGCGTCTCGCCTCTGGCCCCTCTCTTTACCTGGCTTTGCAGCAAGTAATTAAACCCTGGCAGCCGAAGTAGCTAGTAAGCTGGCTGAGACCACGTTGCCTTGAGACCAGCCTGTAGGCCCTGGCCGCTGTGGCTCAGTGGTTAGAGCTCAGTCCGCCCACAGACTGAAGGGTCTCGGGTTCGATTCCGGTTAAGGGCACCTACCTTGGTTGCAGGTTCATGTGGAAGGCAACCAATCGATGTGTCTCACATCGATGTTTCTCTCTCTCTCTCCCTCCCCTCCTACTGTCTCTGAAAAGCAATGGAAAAAATATCCTCAGGCGAGGATTGAAAAACAAACAAAAAAACCTCTGTAGCACAAGGGAAAATTGGATAGTGATCATCAAACCCTTTTCCTCCTGGCAACCGGGTGCTGATGGTGCCTAGAGCCCTCCGGTACTTTCCCCCTGTGGGAACTCCCCCACGCGGAAAAACGGGGGCTGTCTTAGGTTGGAATACAATTTACTGTCTTTATCTGAATTCTCAAAGGAGGTGACTGTTTTCCTTTATCCCATTTTCGTGGCTTCAGGGGCTGGGAGCCAAGCAGCTGAAGTCATTCCCCTTTGTTTCAGGGAGGAAGGCAGAGTGTTGGAGGGAAGCCTCCGCGTGGTGTAGCTGTAGCCCAGCAGATACTCTGTGCTAGGGGAAGACTCTCATCACTCAGTAAGCGGTGCTGGGACAGTTAGCTATTTGGGGAGGAAAAATCAGTTTAGCGCTTTGCTCCTTAGCAGATAACAAGTTGCACATGGAGTCGCTAGAGAACCGTACTCCAGACAGAGCAAAGCAGGCAGAACCTCAAAACCTGGAATAAGTTACCGACGACTCTCCGGAGGACTGTGGATGGGAGAGGGCTCTCTGAGCTTAAAGCAATGGGATACGATAAACCAGACTGTGCAGATTTTACCACATAAGAAATTTAAACTTCAGATGTGTAAAACATGACCAGAGTTGAAAGGCAGACAACCACCCATTTAAAGAAAAGAATTGTCATCACAACATTTACATCAGAGGAAAGCCTCGTGTGCGCACCGTGGGTCGTGTGAGTAAAACAGGAGATGAATGCTCAAAGGACCCCAAAAGAATTCTCAGAAGAGGAAACATAGCTGGCTGACAGCCGTGTCTTTCAAAGTCAACCACATTAACAATCAACAATATGCAAATTGACAGGAGACACCAGTTTCACCTTTCAGATTTAAAAACCTCTGCTCCATGCTGGCAGAATTAAACAGGTTTCCTGTTCTGCTCTTGGGAGTGTTAACTAGTAAGGTCCCTGGGGAAAAAACAAAGCCACTGTATATATCAAGAGCCTTAAGCACGTTTATACCTGGTAATCTAAGGTCTAATTTTTAATACCAAGAAAACAATCTGAAAAAAATATTTATGCACAAATGTCAGGCATAAATAATAGCACCGGTGGGACCATCAGGAGGAACTTCCAGTGCCTGTGAAAAGGGGACATGTGTGAAGGAAAACATTTCTGTCCAGGGAAATAAGCAGGATATAAAATTGTTCCTGACAGATAGATTGTAACTATAAACAGTATAGAGGGGGAAAAAATTGGAAGAAAATACACAGACTGCTAATAAAGTTACTACTTTGGGTGATTTGATTATTGATGGTATTTCCCCTCCTTTCTACTTTTTTTTTTTTTTTTTT